GAGATGATTCACATATGAGACGATATCAAGCTCATGTTTGACACTCATTATATCAAAACTTTTTTCTCAAACTCATTTTCAACAACACATTCAAAAAATAAAATATTTGTTTATAAACCCAAACATTTCCTACATTTTCATACATTCTCTAAACAATCATTATTCTAAAATTCATTTTCCCCAAAAAAATTAATCATATACAATTAATGTGCACGTTCACATCAAACAACTCTATGCACCACTATTCTTAATAAAACACTTTTCAAAAAGATTAATGCTATTTAGTAAGTAACCAGACTTGATGTATTCAATTAATTGAATCATGTGACATTGTATTTAAGTGATCATATCCTTTCCCGTTGAGTTATATCTCTTCCCTGCCAATTTATTTTTGTGAGATGGAGGGAGTATGAAATAAAAACACATTTTCACACTTGATCCACATATGAGGTTTCACAAGTAACTCCGACATCCTTCCAAATTAGTTCCCACACCCCCACCACTAGAAAATTTAAAGCAAAAATTACGTGGTACCAACCTTTCTTTGAGACAATGCTTTGTATCCGACTACTTTTACTTCTTTTCTTCTCCACGTGGATTGCAAAATTGAATAATATATTGACCCACATGCAAGTTAGAGGCTGCTGAATATGGTCATCTCTTTTGGTCAATAAATAAATTGACTTACAATGGTCGTCTTTTTTAAATCTTTGTAATCATCCAAGAAATTGATTACAATTTCATTTTAATATAATACAGAATTTGCACTTTCATCTGCTTCCATCTTCTAACCAAGCGATTAAACTCCATGCGAGAAATTTCGTAGAAGTCACCTAACTTCCATTGACTTCAATTTGTTCACCCTAACTTATAATTAAAATTAAAATTGACCATTATGTCAATGACTCTCAAGAAATCTAAAGAAATTTACAAGTAATTGTTACTTCAATTTATATTTTTGGCACCAAAACCATCTTGTGGTGCTAAAAGATTCCATGAAGAAGAATATGAATCTCTTAGGTCAAAAGACTCCGAGTAAGAGCTCTGCAAGTTCTACGAATTTCAAGTGAAAGTTCTACAAGCCTAACCAATTGATCTACAAATATTTTTGGTCAAAATACACCTTAAATAAGAGCTCTATGGGTCATAAGTGAGAGCTCTACGATCATCTAAAGTGAAATAAGATTATTCGTGCACTTAGGCCCAAAAAAAAAAATGAAAACCTCTAAGTGAGTTTTGCATACCCCTTAATACGAAAATAATCCAAAATGAGATCTCTACCCGCTCCAATTGAGAGGTTTACGGTATAATAAAATATAAATTAAATAATCAAATTAATGTTGAGTGTGGTGAAATTGAAACAAAACCGTAAATTGGGTAGCATTGAATAAATTTACACAAAAAAATTAAGGGAGGCGAGTAACAGTACGCGAGTGGGTGGTTGTTACATACAAATATCCTCGTAATTGCAACATATGACCGACACGATATTCGAAGGAAACGTCATACCCTTACATCATCAATTGGCATCGGATCCAACGGTTATAAAATAAAGATCACAATAGATAATAATCAATAATAACACACATTTCACGGGTAGCAGTATTCGCAGGAGCGTATATACCAAAAGTCAATTGCTGCTTTATTTAGATAGAGAGTGAAGAAATGGAGAAAGATACGAAGAGGAAGCGGAAGAGAGCGGAGAATAATAGGCGGGTTAAAGAAAAAGGAGCGGTGGAGGAGGAGGAAAGGGAAGTTGCGGTGCCGCCGCCGCCGCCCACGGAGGCGGAGGTGGATGAGTTTTTTGCCATTCTAAAGAGGATACACGTTGCCATCAGGTACTTTGAGAATACTTCTGCTCGGAATAATTCATCTCACAGTAGCGGCCAGGACCAGAAGCTAACGGCCTCAGAGGAAGAAGTTTACGGCGTTAAGGTTGGTGAAAAGAAAGTGGAAAATGGCGGTTTAGATTTAAACACTATTCCAGAACCCGAAACAAATATATAAATATACCTTTAAGGCTTTTTGAGTTATTATGTACTTTTATGTTTTTTTTTTTTTTAATTTTTATTTTGGGTTATGTTTCGGACCTTAATTATTATTTAACTAAATAAAATGAAGCATTTATCTTTTTAAATAGAATGTATATTCTTTGTTTGAAATATCTGAATCAAGCCATGTGGCCCATGTCTGTCTTGTCTGACTTTCGAGCTGATTGTTGTGTTTTAAACTTTTCTGTGTAATTTTAATTTGTTTTATTTAGCCTCGTTTGTTTCTCATTTGTGAAAAAATAAGAATGAAATATATAGTCGTTATGAACCCCGTATAAAAGATAGAAATTCAAATTTGGTAACTTGATGTAATAGATAACGATCGTAGTTTTCATTTTAATAAGAAAATAATGGGAACCAAAAAGAGGCTTAAGATAGCGAATTTTTAGGAATATCAATGTTTCGAAAACGATGTAAACAAGCATGTTCTATGCTGGTTTTAAACGATTTTGTATTTTCAGTTATTCAGGTATGATTAGAGTAGGAATGGCAAAATTCTGCACCCTCGATTGTCCCGAATGTTATAAAAGATGGCGAAGAGAAACATGGTTCACCTAGCGATTTTTTTTTTTCCCCTATGTTTTTTTTTTTAAATTGTATTTACGAATAATTAATTAACTAAGCATGGCGATAAATTGAGATTTTTTCGAAGGTGTCCTCAATTGAGATTGAGATGAATTTTAAAAATCCTTCTAAATTTAGGTATTTTCAATTAAGATTTTAATGAATTTAGGCGTACCAAATTGAAATTTTAATGAAATTTAATTAAATTCTCTAAAATTTAGGTATTCTCAATAATTAGTAGATTATGATTGATTTTAATCTTAAACATACATATAACCAAATCTTTTAAAATTTTACCATATTTGATGAGATTCTTATGAAATTTATAAAAATCTATTCAAATCCACGAAAGTGATTAGGATTTAAAATATTTTAAAATCCATCAAAATCTTAGTTGAGGACGCCCGTTAATGCCTGTCTTCTTCCAAAAATTGGTGCAGGGATCATGTTGATCACCGCAATATGCAATTGATCGTTGCCATTCCTAAACCAAATTCTTTTTCAAATTAATTATTTTTCGACCAAACTAACGAGTCATTTCCCAAAAATATTTAAGCAAGCTTAGGAATAAGAGGACGGCTGGTCTCAAAGAAATTGTAGTGTTTTGTTCATCCAAAATTCTAAAATTTTATATGATTATACATATTTTTTTTTATCAACGTAACATTTCAAATGAATTCATAACTTACTATCACTTATTATCTACACATTTTACAAAATTCATAACTTACTATGACTTATTATTAACACATTTTATAAAATTCATAACTTATAATTACTTAAATTTTAATCTAAGCACGTCCAAACATCAAACAAACTTAGTCAAAAGTGTTTAACACTTAACCATGCATCAGGCCGAATTGCTATGACCGTTTATATTAATGGTCAAAACGCGGTGAACTTTCCTGTCTAGTACAAATGTGTTGCACACTAAAAGCCCAAGGGGCTTTTCTCCTTCCTGTATACAAGCCGTTTTCCATTTTCGATTTTAAAAAAGGGTCAAAACTCGTTCTCATTCCTATTTTCAAAAATGAGTTTTTTAAAAAAAAATAATAAATAAATAAAAATCTACTAAAAACTCAAAACGACATTTTAACCATTTTGAGCGTTTTGTAGCCAAATAACGAAAATACGGGAAACAGAGTGAATTCATTAAAAATAGCCCGTCTCTTTCCTTTCTCTCCATGCCTTTAAGAGCAGATTGAAGACACTGTCTAGGGCTTACTCTGCCTTCCAAATCGCAGATCGAAGAATATCGAAGGCTCTATAAAAATAATTTCCCCTCTCTTTCTTGCAATCACGTTTTCTATAGTAGAAATTGATCAACGATTCCCTGTGCTTTGTAGAAAAACAAAGTAGATCTTTTAGAACATTCTCTCCCTTTTGATTTTAAATTCTTTCTCGTTACTGAATCTAGTGGCACCACGTCGCTTAGGTATTTTCTTCTTGGCAGTATTCTATTTTTTCGAAGTCCTCAACGTGAGCCCTGACGACTTTGATTAATTTCTTCTTAGCCAGTTTTCTATAATTTGTATGTCCAACTAACAAACTGCTATTTTAATTTTGTGCTGCAAGTGGGGTTTTCTTTACCGATTGGTTGTGTGGTAACAATTTTGCAATTAGCCATTTCTAATTAGGCCCAATTTGATTGGTTGTGCTTTTCCATAGAAAATGGAATTTCATCCCCATTTTCCAACTTTTGCATGTTTGATTTCCTAAATTTTCTAGAGAAAACATTTTCTTGGGTTGAAATTGACGCGCCCCATTTCTTGGTTTTTGAGACCATTTTGGTGGGAATTCATTTTCCAGGCTGATGTAATTTTATTTTTTTTATTTTTTTTTTGGTTTTACAATGGAACCAATATCTATGAACAATTGTAAAAGAAGATATCCCTTAAATTGACAATTTATATGTAAAACAAAGCCAAACGAACACCAAAAATACTTTCATTTCAATATTTTCTACGTAAAAAATTATACCAATTAAACATAATAATTTACAATTTTCAAGAAAATAATTTCCAGGCAATTCAATTCACTGAAACTCGTTTTCTTTTCACCCAAATTCCATCTTTGCAATCAAACGCATCCTTAGTGTTTGCGGCAATTTCAAATTTGTTTTTCTGTTGTAAATATTAATTATGGCTTAACAATATATGAGTTTTTCAGTTTAATGTTTTCAAAAACAGTTTTTCAGAATGACAAAGAGAATGTATTTTTAACAATTTCAAAACAGGCACTCAAAATACAAAACCCAAAATGAATTCAAAACTCAAAACTACAAAATTGGAACACGAAGAGAACAGCCCCTAAACGTTCTAATCTTCAATTTTTGAAAGATTTTTCAACTTAGATGATATGTTTACTTTGTGAAAAGTCGCATCCTTCTCATTTTCCCACTTTTGCAACAAACCAGTCTCATTCACTCCGAATTTATCTATTTCTCATTTATATTTGTTAGTCCGTCCAAACAACAAATTTTGGCTAATCAATAGTTACACAACTATCGATACGTTTGTTATGATAGATTAAATAGGACTCGACAAAAAAGCATCAGAAGCTGAACCTGTAAACACATACATATACATGTCCTCTGTAATGCATAATCTTGTCCACGAAAGATAAAAAATCTAAGACATCATACCTCGTAAATGGAATTATATCTGCAGCTGCAATCTTTCTTGCTCCAAAACTTGCCCATAAATCCGAAGATTAGTCCAAACTAGGAGCCTGTTCAGTTGGATTGGATTCAAAAACATCTGAATTAGATGCGTCTGGTTCGTCTAGAAGATCCCGAGATTGGATAGATTCTTTGTAAACTGGAGTGTCTTTGAAATCTGTTGCTCCTTCATTATATGTGGCCACAGCAATGCCACAAGCAATTAACTACAAACAAGAAGATGTCACGCTCAATGGCAAATCCAGAGACAATGAACGCTATAGGGCAAATTGGGAGAGAATATTATAATGCGCTTACAGATAGAAAACTTTAAAGAAAATGCATACATATGAATCTAAGATGACACATTATTGTTTGCCTTTTATGAGATCCATTACTTGACACTTAATTGAAATTCTCCATTTACATAAAAGGAAAGGGAAAATTAACAAGAAGTTTGAAAGGAAAATCCATTACTTGGTGCATTTCTAGGAGTGGAGGAAGGGGAGGAAATGAGTGGGGAGACGAGTGGTGGAAGATTACATTCAACTTCCATAAGACTTGGAGCAAACACGGTCATTTTCTTATGCGGAAAATGCTTGTCCCCCATGAATCTATTTAATTGGCGATTCAAAGAGCTGCTCCATCCAAGATTCGGCATGAATTGGTGTCCCATCACGTTACTTGGAAAGTAAATATCACCCACAAATTCTCTCTCTTCCATGCTTCTCAACTTCGAATAAAATTGCCACTTAAAATCTATCCTTGTAAGTAAAAGAACAGATTATCCTCAGTCAAGATTGTCCTTCATTCTAATTAGTTAAGCGCCTTTCCGACAAAAATCCTGATATTTAAGTTTGAAGTTCACTCAATCAAGATAGTCCTCAATTAGAATTTTCAACCAGAGAGCATTCAGCCAGTTTTTCTCTGTTAGCACCTCTCACATGGAAGTGTGCAATGTATAATGGAAATTCAAACCTCGTGTTGTAAGTCAGTTTGTTAGGCCTATGGACGGAGGAGAATTACAGAAGTGGAGAGAACATGTATAATTACAATTTAACCTCAAACAGAATCTACTAAAAATCAAGGTCATGATTATGTGCAATCCCATGAATTGTATCAATTCGAACTAAATAACTGAACCCCTTAATAATCTAACAATCAATATTCAAAATTTACAGCACCAAAGATTCATTAATTGATCTGAATATTGCATCGTCCTCAATTATCTATGTTAATTGTTATGTCATTGTGAATACTAATATCATGGAAGGTAAAGAACACATGATTCAGAGTGAAAACATAAATTACCGCAAAAACGATACCAAAAGCCCACAAGTACTGCAGAACGAAACCAAAAACATCCCACTGAGGACCTTCCCAGAAGTCAGGCTTTTCTCCAGGAAGCTCTGGCATTACAAATCCATCATCAACGGCTCCGATAGTACCACTATTATTATTAACAGAAATCTCATCCATACGTTGCTTTTCTACTACTTCTTCTTCTTGCTCCTTAGTTGAAACTGAGCTTCTTCTGTTCTTGCTGTCAAATCTTCCAGTCTTTGATGATGACGAAAGCTTCTTGGGATTCGCCGAGACTGTAAAAGATGTTCTTGGGTGATAAGACCATGATGGCGAAGATGGTACGAGAAATGGACGGCGTAGAGGGAGTTGAGCGTACGTTGTTCTTGTGGGGGTTTTGCAGAGGAGTCGATTACCTGTGAGAGACATTGGGAAGTGGCTGAGGCCTGCGATCGAGAGGGAGTGTGTCGTGTGGATGAGATATGTGACATATCTTTAACTGTTAAGATATTTTATATATATATAATAAAAAATAAAAAAATAAAAAATCTACCATTATGGGTATTAAGAATTAAGAAATGCATATTGGTTAAGTGTTTAAAATGAGAACATAAGTTCGAGAGAACATATCTCAATTTCTATTACTCGATTAGCTTGATTGAGCCATATTTCTAAAAAACCCAACTCATAGATAGTGTTCGAGTTCAAGTGCATTGGACGGTACTAAACAATCTAAATAGACGCCACTTTTCAAAATTAGGGTGGTATAATATTGGAGTGAACTAAACAATGCAATAAATATAATTTTTTTAATATAATAAATAAAAAATTCTCAAAATTCCCAATTAGGGTATTAAATGGAAAAACTAAATTATTTTTTGGTATGCTTGGTTCATGTTTATAAACATTCAAGATTTTTTTTATCCAAATATTTTGATAGATGCACACAAGTACTAATCACCACTTATTTTATCTATTTTTAATTTAAATAATTTTTAAATATTTCAAAAAACAAGTAATTTATGATTATCTTGAAAATAAGATGAGAACTATTTTTTCGAAAGTAATTTATGCTGAACAAGCTGCAGCAATTGAAGATGGAAGCTGGGCTATTGGTTATTTTTGGGCCTGACCTTTCAACTTTGGTGGCCGAAGTAGGCTGTACCAATGGGCCTCAATGTTGAAGAGAATTTCCATGTTTTGCATGTCCGTCCATAACCTAATTGGGCTGACTAATGAAAATAAATCTACTCAGTTCAAAGATTTTTAATAATTACGTCTATGTTGTAAATGGAAAGTCCATTAAAGTTTATTGGTGAATGACATTTGTACCCCTATTGCCCTAGAAATTATTATCATTGTATCCCTGATTCTTACCTATAAAGGCTAAAACCAAGTCCTTCCACTTGCGAATGTGGGATCGATCTAACTATGCCCTTGTTTGATCCCCATTCTTTGAAAAAAATGAATTCTTCTACAGTATTTTGACATAATTTCAACCACACATTTTTCAATAAAATAATATTACACGTAAATCCAAAATTTTTCTTTATTTTTTAACCACACATTTCACATCAATACACTATTCAAAAATTCATTTTTCCCCTCAAAATGGGGCTCAAACAAGAGCTATATATATCACCGGACAAATAAGATTAAAAATTATTTTACACCAAGAAAAAAAAAAAAAAAAAAAAAAAAAAAAAAAAAAAATGATAGTGGCACTCATTTCAAATTATAGAGGGCTTTGGTTTTCAATAATACATACAAATCGTTTATTGAGTTTTCTCTATTCTCTTTGAGTTTTCTCTATTCTCTTTTCCTCTCATTTTATAACACGTTATCAGCACGAAACTCTTTGAATGTAGTAATTTTTTTTCATAATCATCTATCACGTATTATCAAAATTAATTTGATAATACGTGAGTTTTACATATACATATGTTGAATCTGCAATACGTGATCTCATTTTTCTCAATCATCATGTTTTCTTTGTACCTCTCTTTGAATTAATTAATGTTTTTTTCCTTTACATCAATCCACGTGCATTTTTATGGAGATATATTTATGTTAAATCAATTGATATGCATTAATTCATATTCCTATACCCTCCTTATATTTAGATTAGCCCTTTACATTCTACACATGCTTATAATTTATTTATTTTCTTGGTTTAATTGGTCAATGTTCTTTGTAAGCAAGCTTCAATTCCAAATCTCTATTTTGGCTAATTCCATATATATATAATATACAAATAACAAATAACTGTACCCAACTCATCTTTTCTCTCAAATCCATTGGTTTCTACAAATTTCATGTCTTAATTGGTTAATACTAATTCAATTCTTTTAATTGCACATAATTAGAATTTCGTGCCATAATATGTGAATAGGTTTCTACATGTCACCAATTTTTTTTTGTGTTTCACTCGACTCACGTTATTAATTCAAAATAATATTTTACATGTGTTTGTATATTAATTAATAGTGAGCAATTGGATGTATTATAATTTTTTTTATGTTTAGTTATGAAACATTACATTAAATTTATTTTTAATTGTTGTTGCTCCTGAAGTAACACAACATTATAATTAATATTTTAGAAGAATATTAATCATAGATCTATTTGTTGTTGTTCCAGAAGTAGCACAACATTATAAGAATATTATTTGCTTCTGAAGAGCATAAATTATAACTCTCAATATTCCAGAAGGATATTGACATATTGCACTTGAATAAATAATAGCAAAATATAATGTGCTCGAGAAGTAACATATGTTTTTAAGAACATATTATTTCAAATTAGTGTTTATCCCCAGAGGAAAACACGTAACTTAAAGTCATGTTGATATTGACCATTTGATTAACATGTGATGATTAATCATATTCTTCAAAATTAATTGTATTTTTTTATTGTGTAGTTAAACAAATGACAAACATTACGAAACTTGAGTTTGCTGCACTTGATATATCTGATAAAAATTATCTGTCATGGATACTGGATGCTGATATCCATCTCATCTCAAAGGGTCTAGAAGAGACAATAAAAGAAGGAAACAATGAATCCTTGTAGGATCGTGCAAAAGCACTCATTTTCCTCCATCACCATCTTCACGATGGATTAAAAATTTAATATCTCACTGAGAAAGATCCACAAGTTCTTTGGAAAAAAGTTAACTGAAAAATTTGATCATCAAAGGACTATAGTCCTCCCCAAAGCCCGTTATGAGTGAATGCACATTCGTTTGCAAGACTTTAAAACGATTAGTGAGTACAATTCTGAATTGTTCAGAATATGTTCAAAGTTGACTTTGTGCGGAGAAAAAATCACCGATGAAAATATGCTGGAAAAAACTTTCTCCACCTTTCATGCCTCAAATGTGCTCCTGCAGCAGCAATATCGTGAGCATGGTTTCAAAAAGTACTCAGAACTTATATCTTGCCTACTAGTTGCTGAACAAAATAATGAATTGTTGATGAAAAATCATGGATTACGTCCAACTGGTTCTGTATCATTGCCTGAAGCAAATGGTAATACATTGTCTAAAGCAAATACAATATCAAGACAAGGACGTGGACGTGGACACGGACACGGATACGGACGTGTACATGGAATAAATCATGGAAGAAATAATCAACAAAGTTATCAACAATAAGGAAATAAATTCAAAAGGCACAAAGCAAACGAAAGTGGCAAATCTAAAAAGGAGTATGAAGAAAGTTGCTTCAGATGTGGAATGAAAGGGCATTGGACATGTACGTGTCGTACCTCAAAACATCTTGTGGATCTCTACCAGAGATCAATCAAGGGAAAAGAAAAATTGGAGACTAATTTTGCTGATTACGATGGTCCAATTGATGTGACTCATTTGGATGTCTCCGATTTCTTTACTGATCCAAATGAAAATATTGACCATTTGGTTAGGGGTGGTGTGATAGAAAATATAGATTAATTTACTAGTATTTTTTTCGTTTTAAAAATTCAATCTGAAATATGTTTTTACTTTTCCGTAAAAAAATAAAAAAATAAAATAAAACTCTATTATGCACCGTTTATTTCATGATATTAAGTAATGTTTATTTCTTTAAATCTAAATTCAAATTTTTTTTTTAAAAAAAAAATTTGTTTATTTTTTTATATTTATAGATTCATGATGGATAGTCAAGATAGCTACTTAATTGATAGTGCAACTACACATACTATTTTTCAAGATAAAAAATACTTTTTGGACTTAATATTAGTTGAAAATAATGTTAACACGATATCGGATGCGTCGAATATCGTTAAAGGCTCCGAAAGAGCTTGTATTATTTTACCAAATAATACAAAATTATATATTGACGATGCACTTTATTCTAGCAAATCCAGAAGAGATTTGCTTAGTTTTAAAGATATTCGCTGCAATGAATATCACATTGAGACGATACAAGAAAATAATGTTGAATATCTTTGCATCACTTCTTTTGCATCTGGCAAGAAGCAGATAAAAGAAAATTTTCATGCACTCTCATTTGGCATGTATTTTACATTTATAAAAATGGTCGAATCAAATAATGTTACGAACCAAAAGTTCGTTGATTCAAAAAATTTTATACTTTGACATGATCGACTTGGACATCCAAGAGCCATAATGATGCGTCGAATAATAAACAACTCACATGGACATCCTTTAAAGAATCAGAAGATTCTTTTATCTAATGATTATCCATGTGTAGCTTGTTCGTAAGGCAAGTTAGTCATTAAACCTTCAACTACAAAGGTCAATATTGAATTTCCAACTTTCTTGAAAAGAATACATGGAGATATATGTGGGTCAATACACCCACCATGTGGACTATTTCGTTACTTTATGGTATTAATTGATTATTCTACAAGATGGTCACATATTTGCCTACTTTCAACTAGGAATGTAGCATTTGTTAGACTATTTGCTCAAATCATAAAATTGCGAGCACAATTCCCCGATTACTCAATCAAGACTATTCGTCTTGACAATGCTGGTGAATTTAGATCACAAGCATTTGATGATTATTGTATGTCAATTGGGATTGAAATTGAACATTCAGTTGTACATGTTCATACACAAAATGGTTTATCGAAATCGTTTATTAAACGTCTACAACTTATTGCTAGACCATTACTTATAAAAACAAAACTCCCAACTTCTGTTTGGGGTCATACCATATTACATGCTGCATCATTGGTTCGTATAAGACCAACTGCCTATCACCAATATTCACCTTTGCAACTTGCATTTGGCTATAAACCTGATATTTCTCATCTACGGGTTTTTGGTTGTGATGTCCAAGTTCCTATTTCACCCCCACAACGTACTAAAATGGGTCCCCAACGAAGACTTGGGATTTATGCGGGTTTTGATTCACCATCTATTATTAGATATCTTGAACCTTTAACGGGTGACTTATTTACTGCACGTTTTGCAAATTGTCATTTTGATGAAATGACTTTCCCAACTTTGGG